ACCACGGCGGTTGTATTATGGTTTCGTCGCAATTGTGTTCAGGTTGTATTCTTTTAAAGCGTATGACGATCCGCAGATATAAACGTCTTAAGGAAACCGCGGCGGTTATATTTTGGTAATTTTACGGTGTTGTTCGGGGTTTATTATTCTGCCGTGCTTGACGACTGCTGGTTTTATTGGAATATGCCGCTGGTTTTATTAAAATATGCCGCCAAAGATTCCAATGAAACCGGGCGGATCGGCAGGAATAAACCTGTCTTGAGGAAACTGCAGAGGTTGTATTTTGGTAATTTTCCGGTGTTGTTCGGGTTTTATTATTCTGCCGTGTCTCACTACTGCTGGTTTTATTGGAATATGTCGCCAAAGATTCCAATGAAACCAGGCGGATCGGAAGGAATAAACCTGTCTTCAAGAAACCGCGGAGGTTGTATTTTAGTAATTTTACGGTGTTGTTCGGGTTTTATTATTCTGTCGTGTCTCACGACTGCTGGTTTTATTGGAATATGCCGCCAAAAATTCCAAAGAAACCAGGCGGATCGACAAGAATAAATCTGTCTAGAGGAAACTGCAGAGTTTATATTTTGGTAATTTTCCGGTGTTGTTCGGGTTTTATGATTTTGTCGTGTCTCACTACTTCTGGTTTTATTGGAATATATTCCAATGAAACCAGGCGGATCGACAGGAATAAACCTGTCTTGAGGAAATCGCGGAGGTTGTATTTTGGTAATTTTCCGGTGTTGTTCGGGTTTTATTATTGTGTCTCACGACTGTTGCTTCGTGTAAATCGTAGAACGTCATCTGTATTATAGGAATATGCCGCCATAATAACTCGTAAATAAAAACACAGTACAACAAATGTTTGTTTCAACTTCAACAGCAATAATACAACAATTTTAACAATAAGTACTCTATATATTATCATGTATGCCCATCAGTAAGCTCGTGTATGCACATCAGTTGTTGTGTTTGATAAAATTTCTGTACATTGATAATATTAACGAGTAAATATCAGGAAAGAAGTCTAAATCGAGCAGACAAAATTTCAGAGGGATCGATTCCGCAACCTGAGTAAAGTGATCTGTCATTGAAAATAAATCTGAATCGCATCCTGGAATGCTATCATGGCTTGAAACATTATCTTTCTGCTTTCCTGTATACAATACTACCTGTTAGTGAGTCATCTTTTATATACAAAAAAATACAGAATTTGATATTTTAGGTAACATTTACTTTTGCATCTCTTATTTTTTTCCCAGTACCGTTTTAGCCTTGCATTGTATATTCCTTTTGGCCGCATCTTCGTGGGATCATTCACATTTCGCTCTTTACGGGGTGTCTTCTTCGTCTTCGATTGTGACTTTTCAGGATGGTCTCGTCCACTCATAGCGGCTTCGACATCGATTTTAATTTTGTTAAATCCCTCCAACACTAGCTTCTCTGCAAGTTCATGACCTCGTGATATGGTGTCGATCTGGTATGCAAATTTATGAATGTGGTTGAGATAGATGAGTCCACTTGCAGAATTTGACAACATTTCTGGTTGAGATAGATGAGTCCACTTGCAGAATTTGGCAACATTTCTGAAACTCTTCGATTTGCATAACCATAACTGTTATATATGTCTCTTTTCGCATTAATAGTCCACCGAAGTAAAATATATTTATCAGGGATTTTTGTAATATTTTTGTGCTGCAGAACTCTTAGAGCGTGAGCACATAATAAACTCATCATTTTAAACTTTTTACAACTACACGTAATATCAGAATTACAATTGTCCACTTTAATAATCCAGGGCCTGGCTCTGTCCTTATCATCGAGAGTTCGGATATGAAATTCTGAATCCGTAGTACTGCAGCACTCCACAGCAAGCCCACACAAGCCATGTAGAAACTGTGTTTTAAAGATTGAGTATAACTTCCTAGCGTCAAGGGTAGAAACCTGTCTCAAAACTGGACTGCTTTTAACGGTGGGAAAAATTGCAGACTGCTGGCATTTAAATTCTTCATCCTTTTCATTTCTTCTCCAATCCTTGAGAACATTTTTAAGACCCAAAAAACATTCGGTCAGGGTGCTTGTTGCCTTGGAGACATCATGACAAATCTTATTCGTGGACTCTCTTCTTTGCGTTGATAGGATCCTCATTCCAAAAATTTCTTTGTTGAAGGCGGTTGACCACTTATGCCTGATATTATACAATTCATCTAACCAAACATTCTCGTGTAGTTTTCCTTTCCATATCATTTCACCCCAAGTTTCTTCAAACTCCTCTTCAGAGTCATATTTGCTCAAACATTTTTAAAAAAAGATCATTGACTCTCTTGCTACCTACACCACAATGGACTTTTGAAGATAACTTCTTGTAGATGTGTCATTGACATAATCTATGTCTGGTTTGCGGAAGACACTCTTCAATGACTTTAGACATTGTTTGGTCCTGGTCAGTAAATATTGTTATCGGATGCTTCTTATCCATTATACAGATAAAAGTTTTGAATAATTACTTGAATGATTCAATCATTTCATCTGACAAAAAATCAAAACCAAATAGAACATTTTGCCAGTGGTGATTTGCACCGACAATCGGAGCATAACATAAATTGTATTTATTCAGTCTATAACTTGTATCAAATATTATTACATCCCCAAAATAGTCGTAATCAGTCGTGGACATCCCGTCGCACCATAAAAAATTCACCAAACATCCTTCCTCATCAATTTGGAAGTCCCACGCAAACATTGGATCATCTGCTTGTCGGGTAGTGAACAATTGTATGAGAGAATTAGCATCCCCTAATTCAATTTGAACTATTCTCTCTCTTTGTATGAAATTATATGCAACCCTCTTTGTGCAATCAAAATTCTCTATTCCTCCAACCTCATTTGCGAGGAATATGAATGCATCGCTGGTTCTAATGCCGGATTTTGTCATTGTTCTGAGGATATCAGCACTGATATCACACATCTTTCTATTGGAACGCAGTAGATGCTTGTCACCGTCCTCCGCCAACGGATGGTTGTGAGTTTCTACGAATTTCTTTACCGACCAGTTGCCACCATGAATCAAAGAAGTATCGGATCATTGTTGGACAATCAATCCTTGTGTCCGCTCTTTTGAACCTCACAGTGATAGTGTCCTTCAACTCTTTCTTGAAATCAACCTTACCACAAACAAAGCCCTTTGTCTTCAGCTTCTTTGAATTCGGCCAGAAACCACTGTGTTCCTTTCGCACAGTAAATCCAATATGGTGTGCATATAAACAATACTGTTCATATGTTTCATTCTCGTTGTGGACAACTGCATTAAGCAATTTCTCTGTATCGGGTGACTGCAGATTTAAACATCATAAATACAATGTTACAATACATAAATAACAAGATAATAATACCATAATAATACTATTAAATGACGTTAAGCTATGTTACTGGCCTCCTAAAATAAAATCAATTCAGCAGATCTAACATTACCTTAATAACACTGCGATACTACTACAATAACACCAAATCTCGCGTCCGTAACGTTACATTGTGATATTGTCACATGAATAAAACTGTGATACTACAAAAATAAGACCAAATCTCCACGACAGTAACGATGCATTATTATACTACCAAAATAACAATGTGATACTACCAAAATAACATCAGACCACAACTTATATTATACCGAACAACCAGAAATGGAAAACAACTACAAAAACAAACAGTGTATCACCGTGAAATTACCTAAGTAACACCAAATCCACATGAAAGAAACGTTACATTGTGATACTACCAAAATAACACTGTGATACGACCAAAATAACACCAAATTCTCAAGACATTGATTTTACATTATGATACCACCAAAATAACACTGTGATCTACCAAAATAACACCAAATCCTCGAGACATTGACTTTACATTATGATACCATTGTGATACTACCAAAATAATACCAAATCCTTGAGACATTCACTTTACATTATGATACCAATAAAATAACACTGTGATACTACCAAAATAATTCCAGATCTTCAAGACATTCACTTTACATTATGATACCAGATACTACCAAAATAACATCAAACCCCAACTAATATTCGAATGAACAATAAGAAATGAAGAGCAAATACAATAATAACAATTGTATCACCATTATATCTCCTAAATAACACTACATCCCACCCAACCGAAACTTAGTGTTAAAACTCATCTAAAAATAGAGTAAACTTCATTAGCAATAAAATTACTCCTTAAAACCTAGAACTGCATTCAAACATCCTTCGTTAAAAAAATCTAGCTGCCGATGTCGTTCTGACGCATCTAAATTCTACTCAATCTCATTATTCTCGGAAATATTCTGAGATTTCATCTCATTGTTATGATTCTCAGGAGTATTTTGAGATTCCACCAATATTTCTTCGTTAAAAATTATTTCCATCGAACCAGCTCCAGCGAACATGAGGGAAAAAATGAGCATATACCGAATCCCTATACCCTAAAGCAGACAAAATGCCATTTTCTTCTATTGGCGGGAATCAAAAATGACAAAAAAACGCTTTTTTTTTTTTGGCGGGGTTCCCGCCCCCCGGCCTAAAAAACCCCTTTTTTTTCACCTTAAACCAAGCCACGTGGAATCGCATTCCACATGACGAATTTTTTTTCGGTATCGCATGTAGGAGCCGCATGTAGGAGTTCATGCGGTGTACGTACCGAATAAAAATTCCTATATATCACCATTCTTCTTACCATGCACTTTGTCTAAATATATATTTTTGGAAGATTTACATGCATACCACTCAGTTGTTATGCATTTACACATCTAACACCTAAACTTCAATTTTTACGTATGCATGAAAAGGTTAGTTTTACTTTTTAAAAGTAAAAATAATGATATTATTGATGTAATATGAATGATTTGGACGGTCTAAATGTAAAAAAAATAAAGTTTAGATATTTGATAGACATTAGAATTGGGTGGTATGTATGTAAATACCCCTAATTTTTTTGTAATCAATCAGGTACCTTGTTCCGAGAGACATGTCCGTCGGGCAATTCATTCACATTTTGAGCTCCAGGCTCCATCTGGCACCAGGAAAAGCACTTTTTGTGTTTGTTAACAACACGTTGCCTCAAACATGTAAGCTTTTATTTTCTCTACTTCTCCTTGCCGTGGAGTCCGTCTCTTCATTATTTTGTTTAAAAATCTAACTTCTGCTTGTAATTCTATGTGAACAGCTAGCCTTGTGGAATCAATCTATGATTCTTACAAAGATGAAGACGGGTTCCTGTACATGTACTACAGCAGCGAGAAAACATTCGGGTGAGAGGGCAAGCTTCCTCTACCGACTTTATTCGTGTATATTACAATTAACTGTACTTGAACAGGTGATCGTATGACTATATATTGCTGTATGTACATTTGTTTGGGACATTTACATATTAAACATCTATAACTTTATATTTATTTATATAACACTTTATTGTCATAATCACAGTTAAACTTGTGCAAGACAACTGTAGATAATTAATATTAGTGATATTTTTGATGTGATAAATTATTAAGTTTTTATTTTATTTTCTTCAATTCCAACAAAAGGCAATGTTTGAAAGAAGGTAAACTAAAGAAGTGGAAGGTTGTTTATGCCATAATGTGATGGAGAACTTGACTTGATTATTCAAAGAAAAATTCCATTCGATGAAACATTAGAATTTAGGAGTCATTTTGCTACATTAATTGTGAACTATATAAGCAAAATAAATCGGGGGCAATTATATTTACAAATCAATCACTCTCTTTCATCTACTTTTCAAATTCTCGCTACATATCAAAATTTATGATAAAAGCTCAACTCAAAATTTTCATTTTTATCAAATTCTCAATGGTTTGATCGCTCACTTAAATGCATAGCTTTGGTTGTTCAAAAATTCACATGATGCTTCATTTATAGATGACAATGTTTCGAGTGTTTTGTTTGAAATTATTCCAAATAAATATAAAAAAACTTCAATCATGTAAAAAATGCATAAGATTGGGGAAAGATGGGTCAAACCATTTTCGAAGTTGAAAAGATTAGACCAATCTATTATATATATATATATATATATTATATATATATTTGGCCGTTTTGCCAGTTAAATAAATGAAAAATTAAAGCAATGGATAAAATTATTCAGAAAATAAAGCATTTAAATGAATGAGTATGTAATATTTAATTTTATTAGTGTATTATTAACAATTATCTTCTATTTTTTTCTAAAGAATCAAGTGATGCAAATGTTTGATGAATTTAAATATATTCAATCTATTCGTAGAAGATTAGTGGCATTTATAAGTATAAAAGCTTAAGAGTAAACTTGGTGATTTCAATGCTAAAGTGCTTCAATGGTGTCATGTGATCCAACAAATTTTATGAAGATTTAAGGAAAAGAAAAATGAAACTACAAATAGGTTGATTATGCTATATGATATGAATGGTAGTAAGAAGTTGCTAATTGTTAAGTTGAGCATAATAATAAACGTTTGTAAAATTAGAAAAAAAAATGCTATTGATGATTGTATTTAAAGGGATAGAGAGTGTCACATTTTTTGGAAATAAGATATTAAAAAATAACGAGATTAAGTGGTTATAATGAAGAGAGTTATATACACCTTTGATTAGTTTTTTGCACCGTTTATAGACTAAAATTGAATTTTATTATGGTGTCTCTTGAATTTAGTAATAAGCATGGTATCTAATTAATTTAAAATAAAATTTAAAAATTACATATTATATTAAGTTAACTTTAAACCATTTGCACATTTAGGCTCAATTTGAAGCGTCATAACAGTTTTATCTGTTTGAATAAACTATATTTTGATAGCTTTTTCAAAAAGTTACTGCTAAAATCTGTGTTTATCCACCAGTCTTGTTTAGATGCGGTGGCTACTTTCTAGCTACAGTTTGACTTAAAAAAAATTACTAGTCACCGTAGTTTTTTTAACATCTGATTATTTTTAACAACTTCACACTATTTTTTAATAAGTTACAGCTGTTGTTCTAGTGATATCATTTTTCAATTAAATTTTTGAAACTTAAGATTTTCTCAAACATATATTTTGTTTTATTTTCCTATAATGAAAATAGATCATCTAAAATTTTATGTGAAATAAAAAACTAAAAATCCATGCTAACCCTAACAATTAAAAAAAAAAAAAATGAAGATATAAGAAATTAAAACAAGAAATTGTAATTTGGGATCTCTGATCTTCCGTTTTAAATAATTTCCCCGAGTAGGTAATTTAAGCCCATTAAAATTAGCTCAACACATCCTAATTCCAGCCGGCGCTGCGCTTTTAATTCCTTTGAGCTTCATCCCAATTCCTTGGAGATTGAACATTCTGCGAAACCCTGCTTCCCTCGCCAGCGATCTCTACGTAGAGAGGAGATATGAGTGTCGGAGTCATGGTGGGCGTTCTCGGGGGTCTTCTCTTCGCCCATGCTGCTTACTTAACCATTCAGTGTACGCTCAACTCTAGCCCTTCTCCCAATTCTTCGAATTTAAAACAAGGGTTTTGATTCTCCCACTAATCCATTTGTTCGATCCGAGTTTCAGATAGAGCCATGCTCAAGATCATGGAGGAGGAGTTTTCCGGTCCTCCCACCAATGTAATCACATACCCATTGCTAAAATTTCTTATTTTTTGCTTTTTTTGCACGTTTTTTTTGGATCCAAGTATTTTTTTTTTCTCTATTGAATCTGTGATTTTGGTGTTATGCTAATACCGTCTTATTTAGGTCGTGATTGAATTGCTTCTGGGATTGGTACTTTGTATGGTTGCGGGGCTTGCGGTTCCGGGGAAGTTCCACTCAATACTGCCTGACTCGGAAGAGAACAGGTGCGTTGAGTTGTGCATCACTGCTTTTATTTCCTTTTTCCTTAAATTTTTCTTATTGCTTTATTTGGATTTGCCATGCCTCATTACTTATCAGGGAATAGGAGATAGTTGTTCCTTTTTTTTGTTATTGTCAGCCATGAATCGGGGAGATTTCTTTTTACATATCAGTTCCCTTGTTCATAGTTCCTAAAAGCTCCAGTCTAAAAGTTCGTTTTTTTTTTTGGCACTTTGGCCGGGCCCTTCGAAAGGGCTTCGGGAGACGGTTGCCCCGATACTTAAAAAAAAATCTAAATTTGGTGATTTGGCCCGCCCTAGAAAATAATGGTGTCTCCGCCTGGGACTATGGAATTGAGGTTTAGTGTGTTTGAATTCTTTGCTTATAACGTTGAAGACTATGAGGTTCCTCTCCTTTCAAGGTCAAAATCTTAATCTAAAGCATAAGTAGCCATAAATTTATCATTTGCTTTGAGCTAGGCGATGTTTACATCCACAACACACATGAATGGTTTAAATTTCCCACTTTTCTGTTCTGATTCCTTTTGTTCTAATTTATCCCTGTAAAACATGCGTCCAGTCATGTTAGTGTAATGGGTAAATTATACAGTTGAAGTATAATTTTGTGCTTGAGTTATTTTCCTTATCATATATTTAGCATGTAATACTTTATTCATTATGAAGTTCAACCTCAATTCAACATATTGACATAAGAAAAAGAACATGTGCATAGTGTAATGTGTTTGCTATGAATTTGAATAATTGTTTTTTTTATGTGTTGAATTATGTTGGATTTTTAGGTGGGTAAAGCATTACTATTGATTTGTTTTTTGCTAGAAAGTTCTAAATTGCAGTTATTTTTATGCTAAGATCATTAATTGAAATATATGGAGAAGCAATATGAGGATCTTTATATGGCTCTTTTAAATTGAAATCTTACAGAAGTATCATTGCAATTAATCTGATGGTTTTTAAAGAGATTAAGTTTGTGCAAAAAGTTGTGATGAAATTCTTAAAGTTTGTAAGATAAAGTGTGAATAAAATTAAAAGTATATCAGTTGACGAAAGAATTTCCAACCGTAATGATTATAAGATTACAGAAGAATTAAATTATTTATTTTTCTTGTATTGATTATGAAGATGCTTCCAAAGAAATTTGAAGTGAGAGGTCCTTGGGGTTAGTATTTGCAAATGATATTTTTTTTGTTATAAATGTGGCATTTTTTGAATTGACAAGTTTGAATGGAGGAAAAATTTAGTTGGTAAGGTCTTAGGACTATGTGAAGTAAGATTGGGCACATGATATGCAATTTATTGATAGCAGAATTGGTAAGCATTTGCCTATTTTAATAAATAGATCAACTGATACCTTAGTGTGATAGATTTAAGTATGTTAGATGAACCATATAATAGGTTAGACATATGGATGATACCATAGCTTCTAGAATTAAAATTTGGATGGAAAAAAATGAAGAAATAACTTAAAAGTACTATTTTGATAATATAATCTATATGATAATTGAATAATATATCGATTTGAATGCAAATTTTCTAGTACTATTAATTAGCTGTGTTTTATGCTTTTGAGTGTTAGGTAAAAATAGTTTGGATACACTAAGAAATTATTAAATGAGAGAGGATGTGAGAGCAAGGTTCACTGAAGGTTTATATTGTAAAAGTAAGTTAGGCGATTTAGATAATTTCATGAAGGAAAAATGTACCAAAAAGATTAGTAAATAGATTTAGTGGGAAAGATTTAGGAAGGAAAATAGAGAAAGAGAACAATGGTAACATGAGTAGAAGTTGTTCAAAGTGACCATTGAAAAGTTCATTTAGAAGTTAATGCAACATTCAACTGAAACAAATGGAGGATTCATAAATTTGATAAGTGGATGAGATAAGATCGATAATAACAATGATTATTGTGAAATATTTTTGCCACACAGACCTTTTGCAATGATTTGAAGATGTACTAATTTTTTTAGAACATCATTTTAGGATTGGTGTAGCTCCTGTGACGGACATAATTAGAGAAAGTCGTTTTAGATGGTTTGGTCACATTAAACGTCTATCATCTGATGATCCGATTAGAAGAGTAGATGTTTTAGATTTGACTTATGTTAAGAAAGACAGAAGTAAACCTAGGAAGTCTTGGGCTTATTGTATAAAAAATGATCTTAATTTATTAGAACTAAATGAAAATATGACACTAAATAGGATGCAATGGAGAAAAAAGATTCATGTAGCCGACCCCATGTAGTGGGATCAAGGCTTTGTTGTTGTTGTTGTATCATTTTTTGTCTTTTTTATTACTTTGCAACCACACTGTGCAATTCTTTAGAGATGGTTGATCTAGATGGAATTGGTTGTTTGAGAAGGGTCAAGTGAAATAATACTCATGAAATTCTTTTGTGGTAGTTACAAGTGGATAAGTGACACATTTCTAGAAGCTTAGGATTCTGTTATAATTTTTTTTATGATAGATTTTTAACAATTTAAGGAAATGATATTATAATATTATAGATGCACATGTTTTCATTAAAGTTTCATGTTAATGGGTATGGTGGGTACTTTTTAACACGTTGAATTTTGATAAATATGGAGATATTCATTTTACCTTTTTTTGAATTGTTTAATGAGATACTTGAGAGTTATCATATTTTGACTATAGTTGGTTTAGAGATTTCGTTGGCCAGAATGAATTTATTCAATTATTGAATCAAGTTTTGTCATGCTTGATGACTTTGTTCCCTCATTATGCAATTCTTTAGAGATGGTTGCTCTATATGGAACTTGGGTGTCTGAGAAGGGTAAAATGAATGATACTCATGGAGTTCTTTTGTGGTAGTTACTAAGTGATACATTTCTAGAAACTTAGGATTCTAGAAATAGTTATAATTTTTTTTTTTATGATAGATATTTAACAATTTAATGAATGGATATTATAATATTATAGATGCACATGTTTTTTAAAGTTTAATATAGTTGTTAAGTTTATACTTTGACAAGCATGGGATTATTTTTTGGGAAAAGTTCTGCATAATTTTTCGTTTGTATCAATTTTAACTGATGATTTTCAGATCTCAAATCCTGAGACTTAGTTGTCTATTTCATTTAAAGCATCATCTAGTGCATTAAGACTCCTTACCCTAAACATCATGCATCAAGTTAGGAACCAGTCCTTTGGTGTAAATTTTACTTAATGTAGAGCATCCTCTCAGTACTTTGCTTTTGAAGTTCATCTAGAATTCAAATTTGAAATATAGTATTTTGCATTTGCATTCCTTTACTAAGTTTGCATTGCAATTATTGCTAAATAAAAGGTGAAGAAATACAAAATCAAATCAATTTTGATGAAAATAGAAAAAGGTTGTTGTTGCCTAAGAGTAAGTTTTGGATATCTATATGGAATTTGGGGACTTTGGATGAAAAAGCTAGAACTACCTAACAAAGTGCTTATAAGAAAAGTAAATATCACATGTTTTCAATAAAGTAATGCAAAATGGAGTAATCCGAATATATTAGGAAGGGTTGTAAGCATTATTATCGAAGGTGAGTGTGTGCCTAGGAGCGAGGTGTGTCTCTAGTGCGTAACTCTTCTCAAACGGGCATCATCATTGAGGTGCTTGTCTATACTAAGGCACCACATAGGCGGGTGCCTTGTTCTGGTGTGCTAGAAGCATAGGTACTCATCTCTATGATGCAAACTTTTTAATTATTTATTTAAATTATAAACAGCCATATTATGAGATGGAGAGTTATAATTTTAATGATGGGTATGCGGGGATGTGTAATGAAGAAGATTAAATCAATAGTAGTGAATATTAGGTTAACCACAAACTATGGAAGCTACTAACTTAGATTTCTAATTACTTTTCTAAACTTGAAACGTAACTTTTAGGCCTTGTGGTTCTTTATTTTAGACAACCTATTTGTCAAGTTTTTTATTTATTGTTTTGGTGTTTAAATGACACAAAATTTGAAATGATAAAAAAAATTGAAATAACATATTTTAATACTTAAATGTAATGATTATTATATTACTCTATCCTAAATTATATCTTATAATTAAAATAATTTATTTTCTCTTGGCATGATCTCACTCACTCTAGTAAGTACATCAGGGATCAAGCAATCATGTCACCTTAAGGCTGCTTAACACCTTTAATTACACTATTTGTAGGTTATTGATGGTAGAACATCATTTACCTTACTCCAACTATCAAAATAGGAATAATTCTATTGGAAGATAGATAAATAAAATATAAGTTTATGGAGGTGAATGAAGTTAGTGATAATTGATTACTATTAAATTAACGAAAAGTGAAGGTAAATGCAATAAGTTAATGCTCTAGATGCTCAATTAGGTGATTTGAAAAAATAATTTGTGAAGAGATGTATGATTACTACAACTTATAACTAGGGAAAAGAGGATAATTTTTCTTGATTTAAATGGATTTGTAAGTTCTTGATATTGTGGTGATGTGATAGAAGATAGAGTTTGATGAAGTTGTCGTCATTGAATTAGGAGTAGCATACAATCTGGCTTTAGTAAATTTATACTAATAAAGAATGAGAATATCATGCAATTGCGTTAAAAAATTGAGTCAACAAAGTTCCACAGATAATTTTCTATGAAGAAGAGAAGCTTTATTTTCTTTTGCAAAAATTCTATGATAATGCCAAAAGGAAGTTTGGTCATACAATATATAGTTATATTTATAGATGTATTTCTTGGAATAAAAAAATTAAAAGAAACTGTTACTCAGGATTAGGTGGTGGAATTTAAAACCTTAGGTGGCGGAACTTAAAATTTAAGGAGATGTCAATTTTTTGGAGGGTGCAATTTAAACATTTTTTTTACCATGCGCAGTGTGGAATTTAATGGTTAATTGCATAAATTAAATTGCAATAAGTTTCAATAGAGTTTAGAAGTAATTATATGTATTGACATAGACTTAGTTGAATGGAGAGGTGCACTAAATCATTAAATTGAAAGCATCATT